AGAAGTCTGAAATGCAAGAGCCATGCTTATTACTATTAACGCCAGCTAAGATTCAGCATTTACAAAATACACTGGCTGCAGAAGTTAGCTATACCAGCTGTTAATACTGCAATAACTAGCTGTCTGAAAGCAAGCTAGAGTAGTACAATCACTGAGCAACATAACTAGCATTTAAGCTAGTTGACACACACTAAGCTCATTATTGAATTGTTTTTCCAGGAATGATAAATATTATCATATAAATGCTGAGAGAAGGTTTTAGTTGTACCATAAAGAGTGTTTGTAGGAGTGTAAATTGTAAAGAGTGCAAATTTACTACAGTCAGCTTTTGCTTTCTATGTTAATGCAAGAATCTGTATAGGACGATATGATTGTTTACATAAAGAATCATTATGCAGTAAAGTTAACCAGCTGTTAAGAGATTAACGCATGATAAAGCGACTGCTCATGGCGGAGCTAAAAGATCTACAATCATGGCCATTCGGCCAATTTTGACTGGCAACGTTCTGCAAAGCAGGAGATTCTCCCAATGGTGTTATTTTGAGATTTAACAAGTATATTGAAGTATCTGAACGATGACTGTAGCAGGCAAGACCACCCAATGTTAAAATCCTACATAACATCTGCAGAGTCTCAGAGGGATGCATTACAATTATGTCAGGCGGCTGCCAACCAAAAACGGCAGACGAGATATAAGAAGTAGACCTACGTGTTTGTTTAGTCCCTCGTGTTGTCAGCATAAATTTACACGATGCAAATCAAGAGCAAAGTCCATTATTGGCCTGGTTGCAGCCCATCCAGCGCTAATGATAGGGTTCCCAGAAGGAACCCCACAGGAAAGTGAGGGAATCAGCGCTCTGGGGGAACCGCAATCAGCTAATGACAATCAGCAGCAGAGAGACAGGACCCTGAGCTGCGGATCCCTGCAGGGTAACCCGCCGTACCAGCTGCAGCTGCGGAGTCTTGCCGTTTTTGTGGCTGTAAATGTTTATTATGCACGTTTCTTTGGATTTAAACATCCACGACGCAACTACATATCTACACTGTAATAACACACAGAATGCCAGCATTCATAATGATGAATTAAGAACACTGAGGTGTAAAAGGATTCCAAAGAAATCGCGATTACTCATAAACCCTATTAGAAACCTGTGTCCAATTGCTGAACAGTTTTATTTGACCTAATTAAATCTCAGATAATACCACACAATAATCATATCCTCGGTTATTTTCATGAATCGGGGACAAAATAATCACCATGTGTATTATACAACTGCAGCTGGAGAGAGCTCACTGGACTTGATAAGTTAAGAATATTCGGAATTAGGTTCAGAATTCAGTTAAGTCTTGCAGGGCTCATAAATACACTTGCAAACGCCACACCAGCTGCACTGCGCATCCACGAAGAAGCTAACTATCATTTTGGGCCCCCTGGCACAGACACACACACTGCACGCAGGTACCACTGCAGCGCTGACTTGGGAATTACAGAACCCTGTGTGACCGGTCATACTGGCTATTCCTCAGTTCCTTGCTGGCCAGGCTCAAAGGACGTCCTGAAAACCTGAAGCAGGGCTGAAACACAGACACACAATCATATATATGTATCGCCGTTGTACGCTCACCTAAGGTCACAGCCCTCACGGCGTTTCCCTGCTTGGCTACTGACCCGACACCACATAAGCAAAGCAGCGCACACAACCATAAGCAGGCCCAGGGGCTAACATCTGGCCACTTTCATTCAACGGCAAAGCACTGAAAGTCAGCATCGTCTGCCGTCACTATGGAGACTCACCGCAGGTATGCGCCACCTCTCCGGCCAATGAGGACCCCGGCCTGAAGAATACAGGCTATAATTTTGCATCTGTAGTCACACAGCTATATGAAACTCCAGCTGTTCATGCATTCAGACTCGCTCCCCACATTAATGTAGATGGTGCAGTAGGTCGACTATGAAAGATGTTCCTATTCAGGCTATAACAAAGGTTCAGGCTCCTAGCGATGATCCAGCTCCTGTCTTTGAGCGAGAGTTAATACATTTATTTCTTGTACATTTCTATTTAAGCCCATCATAACAGGACCTCACAAGGAAACCAGGTCTCAGTTACATACCATGTTATTTCGTAGCAGCAGGTTTTGTTGTGATTGATAAGTGAGGAAGAGAGAGCGGGGACAGAGTGTTCCTGGAGCAAATGGGTTTAACGGCCATGCTCAAGGGCCCGATGGGGAAAATACTCAGTCAGCCAAGAGACTTGAACCGGCAACCTTCTGATCACAGTGACAGCACCCTAACCTGCAGAGCCATACACTCACAGGAACAAACAAAACCAGCAAATGCTTGCATTTTATTTTTGAAAGATATGTGACAGGTTATACTACTTAGTTTCAAAGAAAACCAATGATGGCAAGGCACAGGAAAGTGTGAGCTCTGTTCAGGGGCAGCTGGGATCTCTGACACGCAGGGCAAGGAAAAACCGCGGGTGGAGATAATCACGCATCCCAAAACTGCTCGAGTAGATGGAAAGCACAGCAAACCCCGATAATTCAGGGATCTATCATCTTGTCAGACTTATGTTTTTTTTTTTGTGAAAAGGAAAACGGGTAGCTGAAGGAAGTGCGGCCCACTTGCTCTTGACCAATGAGAATCCATCCTCTTTTTTCCACTGAGGCGCCAATAAACTGCAGACTCACTAAACGTGAAATCACATGAAAGTCACAGGCTTACGGCTAAAGACCTGCTTAAAGGCCAGGGGACCGGGGAACCTTAAGGGTTCCACCAGAGCCACAGAACCTAGAACAACATCTACTGTAGCACAGGCAGCTACTGGGAACATGGGAACAAGAATATGCACAGACACCGACACAACCAGGCATCAGAGGGAAGTTTCACTTTCAAATGTATTTCCTGCTGACTGACTGCCAGACTAAATGCTAAACCAGGGCTATTCAACTCAGGCCCTCGATTCCAAATCCAGCCCTTACTTTCAGTTCTCCCAGGAAGTTAGTTTAATAATTACTGATTCTGACTGGTCAGAGGCTTCACACCTGGTTCACAGGTGAAGGAAGGCTGGAAAATCAGCAGGGCTCGGCCCTTGAGGACCGCGAGTTGAATAACCCTGTGCTAAACCACAGGATTCCAGCGAGATCAGCAGAAAAGGCATGTAGTCATTCGCAGACATAGTTCACAATCACACAGCTCCCAAACAATTCTAAACCCTAAAAAAATTTTAAATGAGGAAAAGGGGTCTGTCAATGAGGTCCCTGAGGCATCCAGGGGGGGTCGCAAGTTTAAACTTGAAACGTCTACACCCTTGCCACAATAGGAGAGGCAGGAGATTAACCTGAGACTTAAGTGACTAGCATTGGGAGTTCACATTAACGCAGAAGCACTATTCTCATAATGTGGAGGCACTTAATACTGACCCATAGCATCCTCTGCAGTGTGCAAACAGGGCCCAGTTATTGGCAGACACCGCCGAGCATGATGGTCTCCTCTGCACTGCAGGGGACCTCGACAGAAGCGCACCTTAGCATGGATTACAGGTGAGCATCTGCTCTGACAAGGAGCAGGCCTGAAAGGTAGCAGATCTGCCGTTTATTCTGGGGTTCAAAAAGTGCTGAAGAGAATAACCAAATTGACAAAGGGGGGTGGAGGGGGCACATTTAAACAATAACGGAGATTCATATCATCTGCATCAAGGGAGCCAATGGAGACAACAGGCAAACAGGCAGAAATCTGGTCCTGAGCATGAGGTGAAAACACGCCTGATACACGTCAGGGAAATCTGCCAAAACATGTTTCTGTTGTTGTTACACTGGATTGTTTTATCTGCATGGACGGTGCCCACCCCCCAGTGTCAAGTATATAAAGGTCCACTTCGAATGTTCTGTATTTCGTTCTCATTAAGGAAAAAGCCAACCGTGATCATGTCCAAGTTTTCACTAAAAATAGTGAAAGAACAGCTCATTCTAATCCTGCCATTTTAAGTAGATACAATACACACAGTAGCCTGGAACAAATCAATTTCAAATCATTCATTCAAAAGGATTCTTAAATGACAAATTATAAAAATATGACCATGAATTTAGTTTGCAATGTGGAAACGTCCCTTGTAATCTCATAACATTATGCTTATATACTGTAAATAATGTGAATATGTATGCCACTGTAACGCCACCCCCGGCCCGCCCCCGAAGGGACGTCTTTAATAAAAATAGGTTCACTTTTGACCTTTTGGCAACAAATAAGTCTGAAAAGCCTTTCTTCTTATAACCAGAAGGCAGCAGTACGTGTGCTTATATCATAATAATGAATTTACTTACTTACACAAATCAAGGCATTTTTAAGACCGGTTAGTCGTGGACGCGGGACTGTATGGGGCAGCATCACAGCCCCAGATTTTTAAATGTCATTGCGGAAAAAAATAGTTCTAAATCTTATACTTGACATCACTTTTAAGGACTTAAACAGTCTGCTGGTGTTGAGGCTATAAAGAAACATCATTCATTAGGGTCAGCCTGACACATTAATATTTTTTCGTAATAAATATTTCCAAAAGACTGAGAACGCGCATATATATAAGGCTGTGCGAAACTATGCTTGAAATCGGCGAGCAAAGTAGCAGACAGAAGTCAGATAGGTAAAGTTATGGCTTCATGTCACGCCTTTGGGATGGTTTAGGAGGGTGTGTAGTAATGCATGACTGCGGCAGGAAAACAGAAACGAAGTTTTAAAAATGAATGCAGTTTTTGATTATGTACACGATGATGGGAGACCCTACGAAAAGGTTCATCTCTCCGCATCGGCGACCGGAATGTTAATTACTCTGGGAGCAAGACCACCTCCCTTGGATCTACAAGTTGGAAAAACAGCCCAGAAGTCCCCTACAGAGTTAGCTGCAGAGCCGGACCGACTCCTTTCTGTGGGCGTTAAAAAAAAAGAGCTGGAGGCACCGACGGGGCCGCCGCGCACAGACGGGCGTCCCGGAGCGGCCACTCACCGAAGAGTGGGACCGATGCAGTTGGTGTCCGTGCTCTCGATCTCCCGCAGGATCCGCTCATGCTCTGCGGCTGTCTCCACACTCGCCATCTTCCATGTCCCAGTAACGCCGATCGTACTGCGTCACCGGGAGAGGAGGAAAAACCCAGCGTACAAACAGCGGATCCCCCCGGCTCCCCTTCCTACTTGGCCGTCCACTTCCTTTCTTTGCCAGGATCCAGTGAGAAGCCGAAACCCCACCCCGTGCTTTTCTATCATTGGACAATAGGCGAATCCGCCGTTCCTATTGGCGAAAAGAACTCCGTCTTTAAACGCACCAAGCGCTCCCAAAACTCTTTTGTATATTTGAGTGAGTTTCCCGAAGATAGAACTTAGGAACCGCGTAGCGGTAAGAAGGCTTCGGGAAACTCACCCCACTGTGTTTTTCGTGTTATTTGTAATATTTTAGACTTTAAAATTTGCTGTAAACACACAATCATATTAAAATTTGTATTAACCCTAAAAGACTATCACTGTCGACGAGTTCTTAGTATTACACAAGGCAGTACAAGGATGGGGTGCACCCTCGATGGGATGCCAATTGATTTCCTTCTATAAGGATAGTTATAGTTGCATGGTCTTTTTGTTTTAAAGTACTCTCTTTGATAAAATGGAAACAAGTATTTTGCAGTTAATATCTTCTGGTTGGATAGCACAATGAAAACATGCAGTTAGGTTAACTCCATGGTCTACTGCTGGTGTGTGCTGTGGGGTATGAGCTCTCTTATGACCAGAGGCGGGCATTTCAGGTCTAAAAAGTAAAAATCCAAACCAGGATTTTGGCCGTTGCTCAATCAGCCAGTTGACTATGAAGAGTCACAGTCATAGAGTACTTGGAAATCACACTGAATGATTAGTTTTTTCTATTGTCATATTTTTGTATTACAAGCCAGTCTATGTTCTTGCTTATATTGGCTGAACAACCTAATTTAGCACAATTTGGCCTCATGTTCAAAGGACACAATAGTGGTAAAACAGCGTTAAGCGCAAAAGAAAAAAATCTAATGTGTGCGTATTTTCGTTCACTATCAATGCACTTTACATGCTTTTTTGTGCGGTGGTGGCCCACACGGAGTTCACTGTGCACCAGCAGGGGGCGATCAACACACTGCACACCATTTGTAACCATGGTTTCCTCACAGGCAGCTACCAAGTAATGCCAAAAGGGCACGGATGGTGGCTGATAGTCGGCCCAGTCAGGAGGCGGGGAAGCCTTCACAGGCATGGCCTATGAGTATAAGAAGGTAAGAGTAAGCCAGCTGTGCAAGAGGTCTCCCTCTGCAAGTGAACACTGGGGTTCCATCACCCTCTCTATCCTGGTTGATGAAGGTGATGCTGAAGCTGACCTGCAGGACTTCGCCAGGCAAAAGAAACTGATCAGACTGGTGAAGTGCCACACACTGGTAGAGAAGATGGCCCTACTCCTCTTTCTGCACTCCCTTCCCAGTGACCTTCAGCAGAACATATGCCCGGCAGACACCATAACCCTACCAAAATGGCCAAGCCTTTGCCACAGCTTCTCTCCTACAAGTGGACAGAACAGACATGCTTTATACTTGTCCCCAAACACCAGTATGTGCACAGTTCCAAAGCCAAGCCTGTGGGGTCTGCCAGGGAAAACTGGTTCATCCCCTCTCCCTGATGGCTCACACACCCCCCAGCCACCCCTACTGCCTCATGGAGGGCCCCCCGGCAGCCGCACATCCCCTCGCCTGTGTGCCTGGTTATGTGAGGACATTGGAAGGTAGTTCAGATCCAGAAAGTAAAAATCCGGACCAAGATTTTGTTTCAACCTACCAGTCATATACTCTGTGACTGTGACTCTTTATACTCAACTGGGTAGTCAAAACAAAATCTTGGTTTAGATTTTCTCAGCCTGAACTATCCACCTCTGTGTGTGGGTCATCTCTGCTGCCACAGTGCACATTTCACGTGGTCTATCATAGTGGGCATGGTACCTAATCTACCAGTCCACCTATTGCTCGCATGGGACTGGCCAAGGTATGGTGTGGGCTGCAGTAAGTCCTGGCAGTGGAGTCCCAAGTGGAGAACAGAGAGGTCGACCAGGAGGGGCCTCACAAAATAATAGAAAGGGGTCCTGTCAGCAATCAGGTTTGACAGTCTCCTCTGTGCAGGTTTACCAGGTCGGCCCTCTGTACTGCGCCTACTGAAAAACTCCAAAGGGGAGGGGCTCTCTGCCCACCACAAGGCCAGGAATTGCGAAACAGTTCTCAACCCCCCAGGTCATACCCACCTCATCCAGCACCACATGGAGACCCCCCAGGGGTCATCACCTGCCAAAGGCCACTACGTCTCTTTTCCCCGCAGTTCTGTCTAACGTCCAAGTTAGCAACGGTGCTTCTGGTCAACCAGTCAGCAGAGTTTATCGCTATAAGCCCCACCCAGTAGTGTAGTAGAGTAGAGACTAAAAAAAGGTTCAGGAAATACCTCAGAGGAACTACAATCAGTTCCTGCAGCAGGAACATAACAGAGGTTCCTGGTTTCTGATGTTCCTGGGGTGGGAAAGCACCTTCTGTGTGTATTTATCCTAATTTCCCATAATAACAGTTGCCCTCAAGGGGTATTTTTTCTGCACCTCCATCTTCCGAGATTCTTCACCTACTGCATAGCACTGGTGGACTCACTGGTGCCCCCCCCCCCCCTCACCAGTGTCCCTATGGCTGAGGAAACATCACTAAAGTGCCCTTTTGAGTGGTGAAAACACTGCCATTGGCTGCTCTTCACATGATTTATCCCCCTTCATGCGAGGAGATGTGCCATATAGAGCAAGAACATGTGATGAAGTGTCTTAATGAGTGTCCTTCTAGAGCAGGGGTCTCCAACTCCAGTCCTGGAGAGCTACTATCCAGTCGGTTTTCTGTCCCACTTGGCTTCTGATGAGCCACACCTGGCCCTGGTAGTTACCTGAGAGCAGGTGTGGCTCATCAGAAGTCGGGTATGATAGAAAACCTACTGGACGGTAGCTCTCCAGGACCGGAGTTGGAGACCCATGTTCTAGAGGAATGAAAGTGATGCAGTGTCCTATAAAGCAGGGGTGGGGAACCTGTTCCATGGAGGGTCGGAGTGGGTTTTTGGGATGGCCTCTCAATCAGCCAATAACAGTGGGTCCCCAGGACTGGCGTTGAGAGCCACTGTTCTATTATTGGCTAATTGAGAGGCCATCCCAAAAACCCGCTCCGGCCCTCCATGGAACAGGTTCCCCACCCCTGCTATAAAGTATATACCTGTACTAGGTAATGCAAATTATTTTTTTCTTCATGCCTGTGACAAACATCATCAGAAAATTTATAAATTTTATTTTATTCATTATGACACTGTGATAACATTGTGATCATTTCGTCAAGGGCCAAAACGCAGAAAATCCAAAATTACAATGTTGTGAAAACTGAAAATTATCTCCAAAGAAGGAGCATGGCATTCCTAGAATGTACAGATATCTAATGTTATTCTATAAAAATGTAAGCTGCAAGTAAATTGTTTCTATATACTATGCATGTGCAATTGTATCAAGCATTTAAATGCTTTACTAATGGTAGCCAATAGCAAGGGGCATGGCCATTATTAGACGAGTCAATCAGATGCGGGGGACTGAAAGTGGGCCAATGACAACATCTGGGTCAGTACGCTGGATCTAGCTGGAATGTGGATCCATTCTCTGGACACACTGGTGACCTGTCAGCTCGGGACCAGATGGCCCCAATCAGGAGCTAGAAAGGGGACTTGAAAGGAAAAAAGGAGGGAGGATGGCCTGCTAGGTGGAACGGGTCATCGCTATGATGGACCATTGACAATCAATACTACAGCAACGCAACCAACAGCTAAGAAGGATAATCACATACAGTGTCAGGGTTACATGTAAACAGTAGATCCTTAACCTGCTTTGCAGCAAGTCTGTTTAAGTCTTTGAAGGCAGTATTAGATATTTTTGGTAGTATTTTATATTCTCTGACTTTCATAGACAAGCAGTATCAGAAGGTGCAGCTGAAATCTGTAACTGATATTCTTTGGGGAAGCGATTGTACAACCACATTGCAAAGTATTACTATAATCTAACCTTTCTATCCATAACAGTGTTTAGCAAAAGGAAAAACACATGAAAATATTCTGTTTTTGAAATAAATACAGCAGATTTTCTTTGCAATTCCTGGACGGGGAGCAGGCTGCATTGGGTTCAGGGACCGGTCCACTGCCACTGGAAGCAACACCACTTAGTGGCAGCAAAGGGAAAGGAGACTGCATAAGACACGTGATGTTATGAATGTGATAACTCAAAAAGTATTTGATGGATCTTATTACCCCTTCATAAAAACATTATCGGATGTAGATCTACACCTGACTTCATCTCAAGGCAAATCGCACCAAAATTGAAGCAGCACTAGGTGGCAGCACAGGATGAAAAGCGAGGCTATACACGATGCTTGATTTGGCGAACACAGTAACTATTAAAGAATTTGATGGATCTTTTTTCAAACTTCCCAGGAACATTGTATAGGTGATGATCTGGGGCCTATTTAATTTTTACGAGAATTCTAACCTAACTGAAGCATTGTCACTTAGCGGTGGCACACGAGAGGACAGACACAGATCTGAACCTGATTATATTAGGACAGGTCACACAAAGTTAGCTTTCAAAAAATACTTTTTTAGAGAAGCGGGGAGAGTGCTTTGGGGGGGCTAAAGGTTGTAGAGGATGGGGGATGTGGGAGGAGTAAGGATTAGATGGGGGAGGGGGGCAACAGGGCTATCTGAGGAATACATTGTTGTCATTCCGACAGCATCTAGTTTCCTGTAGTTCATTGTCTCTTTTTATATCCAACTTTGTAATACAGTGTAACATTAACTATTACATCCATCTACATTAATGTTCTCATAAAATATTTGCATGCAATTTTTCTATGTGAAATGAATCAAATTTAACATATCTAGCCTGTTCCAGCCCCATTGTGAAATAGTGAGTTCATATCGTTATCATTTCAGGTTTGACTGGATAGCGTCTATGTTTGGTAGGGAATGTGAGTATATAATTATTAATCACTCAAAAAAACAATCAGGCTTGTGTACTTATATCAGTGAAAATAATGTGGTAAAGTTCAGGTTCTAATTATCTGCTACTGCTTCACATGACAAAACACAGCAGCACTGTAAAGAAGCGTAACCATGTAAGTTGTAACCAGTTCCATCCTTCCATTTTCCATGACTTTAGGATGGCAAAAGTCAG